CAGTCGGGGCCTCTCTGGAGGTGTGGGAGGGGCACGAAACTTTGTGAATAGTATTGTATTCGTATATTGTTCTCGCTCAGGCGGGGCCTCTCTGTAGGGGTGGGAGGGGCACGAAACCATGTAAATAGTATGGTATTCGTATAATGTCCTCGCTCAGGCGGGGCCTCCCTGGAGGAGCACGAAACCGTGTAACTAGTATGGTTTTCGCGCACTGTCATCGCTCAGGCGGGGCTTCCCTGGAGGGTTGGGAGGGGCACGAAACCGTGTAAATCGCATGGTATTCGTATACTGTCCTCGCTGAGGCGGGGCCTCCACGTGCCAAGGCACGGTGGCGGATTACGCGCTGAGAGCGAACGGCATGGACAGCAGCAAGACATTTAGAAAGGAACTGGTGTCGTCGGTGAGAAGTTTGTGGCCGCGCGAGATAACGGTCGACGACGCGTCCGCGGCCGGGGCGCTCCACTTGGGCCACGACCCGAATGCAGAGGTCAACGAGGAGACGGTTCAGTTCGCCAGTTGCGCCATGTCGCGCATGACTGACTATCTGGAGAAGGGCGCGATCCCCGCCCACCTGCAGCGCAACAAAGTCGTGCAGAAGCGGGTGCGCAAACGGGTGCGCAAGCGACCTGCTTGCAAGGACCCAACGCACGGCCCTTCCGTGTTCAAGCGACCAGCTGCGGCGTCGCGCTGAAATACATATAGCCATCCTAATGGCCTGCGGCCCAACCCGCCACCGTGCCTGGGATGTGGGTCTGAGGCGTCTTGCATGCGCCTTGGGGTGTCGTGGGAGGCCTCTCGAGGGCATCTTGGAGGCGGTTTTGAGGCCTCTGGGGAGCTGGTTTGGGGCCAGCCGAGGGGCCGAGCGCGAGCCTGGGGCGACCAGTGCAGCCGACGGACAAGCGAAAACCAACAAAAACAAACAAAACCATTGAATTTGGCCAGCCGATGGGGCCGAGCGACCGCGGGGCGGCGGGCGAGCCTGGTGCGACCAGTGCAGCCGACAGACAAGCGAAAACAAACAAAAGCAAACAAAACGGTGGAATGGGGCCAGCCGAGGGGCCGAGCGACCGCAGGGCGGCGGGCGAGCCTGGGGCGATCAGTGCAGCCGACGGACAAGCGAAAACAAACAAAAGCAAACAAAACTGCGGAATGGGGCCAGCCGAGGGGCCGAGCGACCGCGGGGCGGCGGGCGAGCCTGGGGCGACCAGTGCAGCCGACGGACAAGCGAAAACAAACAAAAACAAACAAAACCAATGAATTGGGCAAGCCGAAGGGCCGAGCGACCGCGGGGCGGCGGGCGAGCCCGGGGCGACCAGTGCAGCCGACAGACAAGCGAAAACAAGCAAAAACAAACAAAACGGTCGAATATGGCCAGCCGAGGGGCCGAGCGCCCGCGGGGCGGCGGGCGAGCCTGGGGCGACCAGTGCAGCCGACGGACAAGCAAAAACAAGCAAAAACAAACAAAACCAATGAATGGGGCCAGCGGCCGAGCGACCGCGGGGCGGCGGGCGAGCTTGGGGCGACCAGTGCGGCCGACGGAAAAGCGAAAACAAACAGAAACAAACAAAACCAGTGAATTGGGCCAGCCGAGCGACCGCGGGGCGGCGGGCGAGCCTGGGGCGACCAGTGCAGCCGACAGACAAGCGAAAACAAACAAAAGCAAACAAAACTGTGGAACGGGGCCAGCCGAGGGGCCGAGCGCCCGCGGGGCGGCGGGCGAGCCTGGGGCGACCAGTGCAGCCGACGGACAAGCGAAAACAAACAAAAACAAACAAAACCGCGGAATGGGGCCAGCCGAGGGGCCAAGCGACCGCGGGGCGGCGGGCGAGCCTGGGGCGACCAGTGCAGCCGACGGGCAAGCGAAAACAAACAAAAGCAGACAAAACCAGTGAATTGGGCCTGCCGAGGGGCCGAGCCACCGAAAGGCTGCCAGTGCGATCGACGGACAAACGAAAACAAGCCAGAACAACCGAAATCAGCGAGGGAAGGGGCCATGCGAGGGGCCGAGCGACCTAGCGCTATTGCGCGCCGCTAAGACAGGGCCCGAAAATTTGTAATCTACTTCTTGTAATTGCTGTTGCTGTTGCTTTTTTGGGGCGGCCCCGAACGCAATCTACTTCTTCCGCCTTCCTACTTCATGTTTCTACCTACTTCTTCCGACCGGTGGGTACTTCTTTATCCGTAAGGGCTTGGCCCCATGGCGCCGGCCCCCTTCCTCGGGTGATCGGAGGTGCAAAAGCTAAATCATGAGGTCTGGGCGCCGCCGTGAAGAGGTGTCAGGACCTGTTTGTTTTTCGACCCTGACCATACGGATCTGCGTCAGGGGTGCCACCGAATTTCAGACGTGCGGCAAATCTTCTATGTTTTTGGACCCTGACCCTACGGATCTGCGTGAGGGGTGCCGCCGAATTTCAGAAATGCGGCAACTCCCCTGTGTTTCTGGACCCCGACCCTGCCGATCTGCGTGAGGGGTGCCGCCGAATTTCAGACATGCGGCAAATCCCCTGTGTTTTTGGACCCTGACCCCGCCGATCTGCGTGAGGGGTGCCGCTGAATTTCAGACATGAAGCAAATCCCCTGTGTTTTCGGACCCTGACCCCGCCGATCTGCGTGAGGGGTGCCACCGAATGTCAGAAATGTTGCAAATCCCATGTGTTTTGGCACCCGGACCCGGCCGATCTGCGTGAGGGGTGCGACCGAATTTCAGAAATGTTGCAAATCCCTTGTGTTTTTGGACCCTGACCCCGCTGATCTGTGTGAGGGGTGCCAGCTAATGTCAGAAATGTAGCAAATCCCATGTGTTTTTGGACCATGACCCCGCCGATCTGCGTGAGGGGTGTCACCGAATGTCAGAAATGTGGCAACTCCTTTGTGTTTTTGGACCCTGACCGCGCCGATCTGCATTACACACCCCAGCAATTCAGAGCACATGCTCAGGGCGTGCTAAGCCTGCCCAGCTCCCAAGAGCGAGCGATGAAGAAACAGCTCATCACACTAAGTCTCCAATGTAGGGCGAGCGGTGGCGTGAAACAACATGGCACTGCAACGTTGTCAGGAGCGAACAGTGCCATGAGCTCTTTCGGGCAAGTTCCTGAAACACCTTTGCCGTTACCGTGCCCGCCTAGGTTCCTAACGCGCCCACATCCTGCAGGCATTGTGGCGGATATATGATTTAGCCGTGGCGACCACCCGTGGCTAGCACAACGGTATCAAAAACTAGCGGAGTCCTCCGCCTCATTCTCCCCCCTTGTCCTCCCCCTCGTGCCTCCCCTGTCTCCAGCTACCTCCTTCCCCCCCCCTCCTCCTCCCCAGACTCAGACACCCGACGTCGCGTTTTTTGTGCAGCGTGGCTCCCCAGAGGTCTGGACTCCTTTTGCCTGGACAGTCTTTGCTGACCGGTCACCACGTCTCCCTCCCTCGTCGTCATCCTCCTTTTCTTCCTCTTTCTGCTCCCTCTCACTGTTGCTCCCCTCCGCGGCGGCGGCCCCGCTGCGATCGGTCAGAGAGGCAGACAGGGGAAGGCTCCCAAGGAGCCAGACATGGAGCCACGACTCCAGACCGGCCCAGCATGCCATGACATGCTGTGCGGTGTTGTGTTCTGCGCCGCCTGGCGATGCCGCAGTGCCGCGCCATACTGTGGCATGCTACGCTCTGCCGTGCTCTTCTACGCCATTCCATGCCGTGCTCTACCATGCACCGCGGACCCTCTTGCGATCGTTGCCCTGCTCGACGTCCTCGACTGTGCGAATAGAGAGGGTATGAGTATCTACGCCATGGGAAGGGATTGGAGGGAGGGGTCGGACATCAGATATGACGCAAGCGCACCTCGCTTGCCTCCCCCACTCCCCAAGCCCCGCTCCCCTCCTCCCCATCGTTGGCCGCCACTTTCTGCCACTGGACTTAATCCTCGCCAGGTGCAGAGCGCGCAGTTTTGCAGAGGCGCCTCCAGGAGCGAGGAGGACCGAAGAGGCTCGAGGACGAGGAAGGGGCCCCAGGAACATCGGGGAAGATCCAGGAAGAGGTGGCGATGTAGGAGGAGTGTGAGTCAGGGTCAGTGGAAGTTGCCGGCCCAGGTGATGACAAGGGGGAGTGGATACCATGGCCAGAGCAACGAGATTTCATCGGATTTCATGGGCCCCTCCTGTTTCAATGAGTCCCTTGCCCCCCCCTCCCCCTGGCCGCGCATGCGTTTCGGCTCTTCACTTCCGAGTCCCCCCTCTTGGACGCCCGAGAGTGGCCCTCCTGGCAGGCGGGGGCCAACCCAGACCTCGGACGCGATTCAGCAGGGCTCCCGACCGCTTTCCTGGGGGCAGTTTTGCGCCTCGGATCCACGTGTTGATGGCCCTGGGGTCCGATGGGGTCCGATGACGTGTTCTAGAAACCGAGATCGAGGAAAAACGCCGGTATGTGAAAATGTTGAAATCGAGAGAAACCAGATAGAGGGGATCGAGGACAAAAATGCGGGAACCACGACAGAGCGCCGAAATCGAGTAACATCATATCGTCTACGGTATGGGCCTTTGGCAGCGGAGGAACGTGGCCTCCGCATGACGTGCGATCCTAAGCATCTGGTGATATGTATGAATTGTTCAATCTGTGGCCCCAGAGCTCCCGACCTTTTGCCCAGGGCCAGCTCGTTGGCCCCAGGCCCATTCTTGATGACTCCAGGGCCCGAAAGCGGCCCCCCGGGGCCAATATCGAAGCACAGCCGCCCGGCTCAAAACTCAACAACCGTCGGAGCTCTGGGAGCCTTTTCTGCCTGCTCATGGGCATTTGGAGTCCCGCAACGGTGCGGTGACAGACTGTGCGGTGACCTCGAAATCCCCCAAGACCTCACCGCACGGTCCGTCACCGCACGGTCTTGGGACCCCGGAGGCCCCTGTCGCCCGAGACGTCCTCGGAGAGGGCCTCGAGTCCCAAAACCGTGCTGTGACCCCGAATCCCCACCGACCCCCCACACGGTGTGGTTACCAAACCCGTTTGGGGGCCCCCAGGGGCAGGTCGGCTTCGCCGTCGCGCGGCACGTGGGCGAGGAGCCGGCGGCGCTGCTGTCCATCGCTGACCTCGGCGGGCAGGGGCCCGCGAGATAGCAGCCCGGGGACGGAAGCGGCCAGCCCGGGGGAGGGCCAGGCGAGGCACGTTGGGCGTCGTGCAATGTTAGGCAGTGGCGAAGCGTCCTGGCGTGCCTATAGGGCCTACCAGACAATGTTCTAAGAACCCTCTGTGGCTTCCACGACATTCCTTAGAACGTTTCTGGCTGGGACTGCCTTGTTGTATCACATCGGTTTCATGTTCTAAAAGCATTGCTTTTGTTCTTAGAACATTGCATTCTCAGAACATGTCGTCGTAGGCGTATAGGAATGCCGGGACGGTCGGTCCCTGCTCAAAAATGGGATGCGATAGTTGAGGGGGGGGGGCAGCGAGGTCTGCAGAAAAGGGGCCCTATAGGGCCCTTCAAGGGGCCCTCCATAGTGCCCCAGAGGGGCCTCTTGGGCCTCAGAAGTGTACCTTTCTCTCCCCCCCCTCCATTCACCGCCCCCCACTAAACGACGCCCAGGCACGGCAGCCGTCCTTCACTCTCGGTACGAGCGGAACGGGTGCGAAAAGAACGGTTACGAAGACCGACAGCAAATCGTTGTCCATGTTGAACGGGGTTCGCTGTCGGCGTCGCCGCGGACGTGGTCCATCTGAGGCAGGACGCCGCCTGCCCAACAGCGGCCGCTGTCGGTTTTGAACACGAGTGACTGTTGGGCATCGTACCCATTGTTTCCGTATCCATATTGGGCGCACGTTGCCCGCGGAAGATCGCGCTTGAGCTGAGAGCCCTCGTTCAGCATCGTTTAACCGACCCCTATTCCAACCCCCATCCCGATCCCCACCATCCCACCACCCCAGTTGGGGATATGCCCCTCGAGACCCGAAAGGAACAGCTTATATCTCGGGGGTGGACAGAACCCCCAACAGTGACACGTCGATTGGTGAATTGTCCGTTTTCGGCTCTCGAGAGGGTGCCGTGGCCGTTATTTTCCAGGCTTGCGCCCGCCAGGTTTTGGCCTCGGGCCGTTTTCACTAAACCACGTTTTACTAAAGGGGGGTCTGTCCATCCCCGAATATCCCCATCTAGGGCGGTACATCGGCCAGTGGGGCCCAGGTCACGCCAGTGGGGATAGGGACGGATCTGTTAAACGATGCTCTCTCGTTTCTAGTAAGCCGCGGCGTGAGGTCGCTACGCCATCTTGCGTAAGACACGTTTCTTTTCGTCGCTCACTTGGCAAGGCTTCGCGCTGCGCACAGCCGACCCCCCCAGTCACAGCTGACCTCAACATGCCTCCCGAAAAGACCCTGGCGCCGCCTCCGGCGACGCTCTTGGGGCGCTCCGCGCCCCAGGGTTGAGGTGTTCAGAACGCCCCAGGGCAGATTTGGGCCAGGCGGGAGAGCCGCTGCTGTCTCAACCGACCCTCCTCCGAGCAGATCCCGTCTACAGACGAGGGGCGGCTCAAGGCGCGGAAAACGGCCATAAGATTTCCTCCCAGGTGTTGATGGCATTAGCACGTCGTTCTATCCAGCTTCGTTAGAGAGCAAAGGCGCGGTCTGCTAGAAACGCTACCGCGGCTTCACGACCCCCACAAGATGGGCGGTGGAGCTATGTAATTCGAGCGTCGCTCAAATGCCTCGTTCTACCTGGAGACCGAGAAGAGGTCCGAAGCCTGAGCTGAAAATATTGCGACCACCTGGACAGGAATGAAGAAGCCCCGTCGGCCTGGTATGCATCAGAGAGGTGCTTGGAGGTTGTCTTCTGGGCGACGCTTCGATAGCTCAAGATTTTGGAATAGCTCAGGCACTAGGCAAGGGACATCACGCAACTCTTGCAGGACCTCGTCTGGTCTGTAAGGGACTGCTTCTAGTCTTGCTACTTCGGGGACATCCTCTAGGGTGCGTCGAAGAGGAAAGTGAGAAGTGATGTTTGGGGGGGAGTCGGATTCACGGCCTGGGCCATGAAATCTCCCAGCTATCACATCATGCTGCCATTTTCTTCTTTCGATCCCCCCTGTCCCCCTCCCCCGTCCGCGCATATGCCCGCGGCCATGGCGGATGCGCTGCCGCCCTCTTCCTGGCCCCTCTCTCTCGACGCACCCGATCCGAGAACGGAGTCTGGATGTGCGTCCAGTCCCATATTTTATCGAGCCTTCTTGTTTTGGATCGGCGATAATCTGGGCCATCCAGGGGGTGGGGCGGCCGATAACCTAACCTTCGCGCTGTGGGCAGCCCCGCACATGCCCGCGCGCACCAGTGCTGCGGCTCCTAAAACTGCTAACGATGCTGCGACGATGCTACGATTCGTCTCGTGACGATGCGGACGCTGTCTGGAGAGGTGGCTCCACGTTTTTTTTGAGTGCCAGCCCATAGCGTACCCTGGCTGCCAACGGATGGGGTGCTCTGCGCCGCGAGGGACGAGCCAGTATTGCAAGATCGCGGCCAGGTTCGCCGGCCCCGAGAAGAGAGCTTGGGCAGAAGGACGACTCAGGACGATCGAAATGGGCACGGACAGAATGGGTACAAAGAACGACTGCATTTCCTGTCCAGTTTGAACCAGGACTCGCTGTCCATGCCGGCGCGTGCGTTGTTCATTTGAGACAGAGCGCCGCCTGCACGACAGCGGCCGCCGTTGGTTTAGACAACATTTGATGATGCTGGGCATCGTGACCAGTATTTCCGTGCCCACTCCGGGCGTCCAAAACGACGCTAGGAGCAGCGTTCCTTCTCGCAGGGGGGGAACCTGGCGGCCCTCGGCCCATCTCGCGACTGCGCCTGGGTCACGCAAAGGCTCTGGCAGCCACCCTCGTCAGGAGAGGTTGCCCCATGAACAGACAATCCCAGCAGCAGGAAAGGTCGCTTCAGAGCGTTCCAGAACGCTGTCGAACGGCCGCGGCCTCCGATACATCCTCCAGAACCGCCGGATCTAGGAGATTCCCGATGTATCGAAATGTTGTCCTGTTCTTGGTTTGGTGTTTGCCGAATCTCAGAGTGGAATCCCCAGCCTTAAACTGGCTGCTCACTGCTGATGGGGTGTTCCGCGCCGCGAAGAATGATAACGTCAAGACGCTGACATTCAGAGCACTCTGGGCTCGGGAGGATTTGGTCTTCGGGCTGTTCCTGAGAGCTGGCTCGGGGGACCTATTCGTGGCTGGGGCTTGCCCTGGCCAGGAGAGCCCCTTCGTTCCTGGTTGGTCACAGTTTGGAGGTCCGCACGGTAGCACGATGACAGTCTCTGGAGGACGTGGCGTTGCGAGGAACCACGAGCTGACTGATTCAAGGGCGCTCTCGGGGGCGCGAAGTCATTCGCGCGTCGCGGTTCGGCTCCGATTCCTCCTCACCCTCCACTTCTCCCCTGGGAGGCGGCGCGAGAGCGCGAAGTTGTTGGGACTTCGCGCAGCGCGAAGCGCGAAATTGGGAGCCCTTGCTGATTTCACGCGCTCCATGCGGAGAACCTCCATCCGCCAGGCAGGGGAGCGAATTGCCCTTTCTCGATTCTCGAGAGGGTGTCGCGACCGCAAATGTTGTGGGCCTGCCACCCCCGAGCAAAGGAGCATGGCGATGAAGAAGTGCTTGGGGGGTCCCGTCACACAGCAGCGCTCTGTGCCATGGGGGTGCTCGTAGGTATCTTTGTCGTATGTGATATTATTTGTGCGAGAGTCTTTTTCGAAACGTTTCCCGGCGGCAGATGTTTGAGTGTGTGTCGTTAATACTTCGACGTTGTTTATAGACATGTGCATGTGTATGTATGAATGCATGCATGCTGTATGTATGTAATGTATGTATGTATGTATGTATGTATGTATGTATGTATGTATGTATGTATGTAATGTATGTATGTATGTATGTATGTATGTATGTATGTATGTATGTATGTATGTATGTATGTATGTATGTATGTATGTATGTATGTATGTATGTATGTATGTATGTATGTATGTATGTATGTATGTATGTATGTATGTATGTATGCATGCATGCATGCATGTGTGTGTATGTATGTATGTATGTATGTATGTATGTATGTATGTATGTATGTATGTATGTATGTATGTATGTATGTATGTATGTATGTATGTATGTATGTATGTATGTATGTATATGTATGTATATGTATGCATGCATGCATGCATGCATGCATGTATGTATGTATACATATAACGGCGCACCGGGTCCGGGGGCCCGGGGCCGGGACCTCGACCACAAATGTGGGCCCCGGGGGGCCCGGAGGCTCGTCGGACCGCCGGACGCCGTCCAAGATCGTTCGCAGGCGGCTTCGGAACGCGCTCCGATGGCTCCAGATGCCTTCCAAGACGCCTGTCATGACACCAAGAAGGTCCCAGAAGCCTCCAAGACGCTCCGAGAGGCAGCCCAAGAGAGGCCCAAGAAGCAAAAATCGTGCCATTCCTATGGGAAAACGTATATTTTTCGCATGTTCGCCTCTTGGGCTTTCACCGCGTCCAAGACGGCCCAAGAGGCGCCCAAGACGGTCTACGAGGCCTCCGGGAGCGCTCCAAGGCTGCGCACGAGTGGCCCAGGACGGCCCCAAGACGGCCGAAGAGAGCCCCAAGACGAGTTCGAGAGGGGTCCCAGACGGAGAAAGCCAACCTCGAATTCCGAGCTTCCGGCCCAAGAGGCTCCAGGAGGCGCCAAAATGCCGCCAAGAGGCGCCAAAAGGCTCCCAAAAGCACCCCAAGACGTTCCGAGAGGCACCCCAAGAGAGGTCCAAGAAACAAAAATCGTGCCATTCCTATGGGAAAACGTATATTTTTCGCATGTTCGCATCTTGGGCTTTCACCGCGTCCAAGACGGCCCAAGAGGCCTCCAAGACGGCCTAGGAGGCCTCCGGGAGCGCTCCAAGGCTGCGCACGAGTGGCTCAGGACGGCCCCAAGACGGCCCAAGAGAACCCCAAGACGACTTCGAGAGGGGTCCCAGAAGGAGAAAGCCACTCTCGAATTCCGAGCTTCCGGCCCAACATATCCCAGGAGGCGCCAAAACGCCGCCCAGAGGCGCCAAAAGGCTTCCAA